TCTCTCTCTCTCTCTCTCTCTCTCTCTCTCTCTCTCCAGACATGTGAAAACGCCCAGACATGTGGGTTATTATCAATGAGGTTTGTGAGGGAGCCTGATATAATTTCTTACCCCTGCTAGTTTCCCCTCTCACAATCAGTCATAGCATACTCTTCCGCAGGACCTGTACATTCTAAGCTTAATTGTACTATTACCATGATACCATCACTATTGCTATATTCCCGCCGCAGCTGTACGTTGAGCGGACTCGGGCATTTCTCGAGTGGTGATAGCTGCGCTGCTTCGATGTCCAGTGTCCCTCTGCACACTTGGAACAGGTACATGACCCACAGCTCTGTCAGCTCATCAATGGCTTCCGGCTTTCCTCTGCACGTGATGCCGGCGCTCCTGCACATCTCCTGTAGAGGAGGCGCCTTCTGTTTGAAAAGGAAACTCCTAACCGCCTTTTGGTACTTATATATTCTGCAGCGCAATTACAGCAAGGAATTCGGGAGGAGGGGTGTTGGTACTGGCGGTGTAACTTGGACTGTGACCCTTCTCGTACCCCCACTTCCTCCTCCCCCCTCCAACCTTAAAAAAACAATGAATCTGATCCAGTGAAATGGAAGGAGCCATAAACATGATGGTGTGTTTCTATCACAGAAACAAAAAGGAACAAGGAAAAGAGTTGAAGACACAAGTGACAAGTGGACACTGGATGGGAAAACCAGGAACTGTCTCATTCCAAGTCTTCATACTACACAGAAGCGCACTCAGCAGATGCATATGCATCCTGAATATTTTTATGGAAAGGGCTCGAAGCTCTTTGCGACACTTCAAGCTGTCTACTTGTTGGTGTCTGCGAAGGGAATGGTGGAATACGAGGTGTTCATGCAGAAAAACATCACTTGCATCCAGAATTGTTTTTGAACTTCTCATTGGACACATTGTCGATCAGACAGTCTTGCTGGTCTACCTTCCAATGCAATCACATGATGTCTCTTTCATCCTACTTTTTGGGGCTTTCTGTCTCTTTGTTTGTCCGTCGGTCTGTCTAATTGCAGGTGATGTCAGAAGCCAGGATGTCAGCAGCCATGGTTTCACAAGCACAGGGTATGGGAAGCACCAACCATGTAGCCCACTTGGCAGGGGCTCTCATTGGGGTGGCCTTGATCTGGCTTGTGAGTAAGATCCCATCTTCAGGGGGCAAATCCTTTAGGTCAAGGCATAGAAGAAGCCTCACGTCTACCTCTTGAGCTCTTCTTTTGTTGGGGGGGAGGGGGGGGCCGGGTTGGGGGGGTTGCATCCGAGAAGAAGCCTCACATCCACCTCTTGAGCTCTTTGTTTTCATCTGAAAGCAGATTTGCTGCTCTCTGTACAATCTTTGGATATCGATCTTTCTACGGAAGTTTCCTCAGAGTTTGTCTGGTGTTACGCATTGCTATGAGGGAAAAAAGGAAAAATGTGTTGCCGTGGCTGCTTCAGAGCAAGGACATGCAAAGGAAATACTGACTCGATGCTGGAAAGTTGAGGGATCAGCAGCACAGCACGGGCACGACAAAACCGTATGGAAGTGGTCCATTGGCACCTTTGTTGTCATATACAAGCAGGTTCAATTTGTCTAAGCTAGATGACGACTCCATGCCAACAATCCTCATCGCCCATGCAGTTTGCCCCCGCAGCCCTGCCTTCTTCCCATTGATCCTGTCAAGTCGTCTTGTCGTCTTCTAGTTGTCGTCTTCTGGTTGTCGTCTTCTTGTCGTCGCTTCTCCTCGGCATCGTCTTCCCTTTCTCATTCTCCT